GTTATGTTGAGCTGTAGGGGACTCAGGTCAACAATTTCTGACATTGCCAGTCAAGCAGAAGACCCAATACTATTACGGGCTACTGGACTCTTTTAGAATATTTTGCTGAGTTAACACACCTATAATATTCAAATGACGGAACTAAAATAAAGGGGGGATATATAAATGAATGTCCATTTTGTGTCTGTGTATTGAAAATGCTTAGGATAGATATATAGTTACATTCTCTTAATGAATAGAGGGATTTGTTCCAATGGTGTTTGTAAATAGGATATCATGTCTGCATCTTGTACTGCATCTTGTACAGGAAGAATGTATGCAATGTGTTAATTATTGAAACTGTCCTTCCAATTTGGTTTGAAACTGTCTCATTGCTATTTGTTTATCAATAAAATTATGGGGGAAAATAAAATGTACCAATAAAATCTGATTAGAAATAAAATAATGTAATGAATACAAACTAAAAAAAATAAGATTTGTATGACAGGGTGAGAGCATTGCTTACTCATTAGTTATTCCCCAATACTGAGGTAATGCACTATGGAGTAGTCAACCCAATGTCCCATGAATTATGAGATTTTTCCATAATCATTAATGGGACAAGGTTTTAATCCTGACCCCAAGAAAGCACAAAGTGTTTCTTTCCCTGGCCTCAGGTAGCTTCCTTGTGCACATGCACTGCTCATTCCTGTTGAATACTTGAGGCAAAATCCTCTTCAAAGCCTCCACACTTCTCCTTGTGGACAGAAAACTCTTCAGGGTCTGGCTGCTGGGCCTCCCAAGTTAGGAAATCTAGGCTTTGTCTGAGTTTTGCTTCCCTGGGCCATGGCTCACTTCGTGCAGCCCTTGTCTCTTCAGGTAACTGTCCTTCATTGCCTCATGTCCACTGTTTAGAAAACTAGTGTTTCATATATTTTGTCTTTTTGTTTTTGTTGTTTAAATTGTTTCAGGCAGGAGGATAAATCTGGCCCTTGTTACTCCATCTTGGCCAGAAGTTGCTTTTTTTTTTTTTCTCAAAACAAGATTTTAGGAGAGTAACAATGGTTAGTACATTGTGTATTGTTACTGCCAAAGTAGTTTCTCATATTACAA